CCTGGGATGAGAGCGACCTTGGTGAGGGAGATTCTTTCGTTGATCTTCTGCCGCTGGCCGATAGTATACTGGCCTTGTCCCTTTGGTAACTGTTGCATAGGTTTGAGGAGGTCCCTTAATTCCTGTCTGAATTCTACCGACGGTTGCTGCCTGTTGAAGGAAGGGTGTGGGTGTGGGTAATAGGGAGGGTCTATGGGTAGAAGGTTGACGGAGGTGGTTGTCTCCGGTGGGAGAGCCGGAAACCTCCATGGCTATTTTAGTGAGAGATGATCTGTAACTTCAATCAATTCTCATAGATGTCTTTAGCTATCAGGCAAGTACCATCTTTAGCTATCAGGCAAGTACCATCTTTTGTTGTTTGCCAGTCAACAACATAGATGTTCTTTCTTCTCTTGGCTATAAGAACCACTTCCTTGGTTGTCTCATGCTTGACATAACATAAGGTCTTGGTGAATTCAACTGTGTAGCCTTTGTCACAGAATTGGCTAGCACTCAGCAGGTTGAACTTCAGACCTTTGACATATGAGACATCATCAATTGCTACCTGGTTCTTGATCAGCTCCCCCCTTCCTTTTGTTTGACCTTCTTTGTCATTTCCACCGAATGTAACTCTAGGTCCATTGTATCTCTGGAACTCTGATAGGCAACTCTTGTCACCTGTCATGTGCCTGGAGCATCCACTATCAATAAACCATTCTTGCTCTGAGATGGCTCCAGCACACAGTTCCTACAAAATTAAAAGGAAGATTTAGGTACCCAAGCTATGTTGGGTCCTGGAGGGTAATGGAGTCTTGGTAGTTGGTACCATTTTGGTCTCATCAAGTGAAACCTTGGTGGATGGTACCCATTGTCCACCTGGTAGTCATGGTAAACAGCAGTATGATTCACTTTGGGCAGATGCTTGTGAGGCTCATGCTTTCTGTTAGCATATTTCTGCATAGCCTTCTTAGTTGGAAAGAAGTCCCATATGCTATCAAGAGCAGATAGGCGTTTAACCTTGGGCTTCTGAGGTTGACCAGACAACCTCTTTTGCCTAAAGTTAACTTTCTCTTGATATCTGCCTTTCTGATATCAGTTTCTGATACGGTTATCATGAGAATGTCTGATGTGGGTTTGCCTTTGATTGTTATTGTTTTGAAAATTTTTCTTTTGGTTAGATCTTCTGCCTGGTTCATTAATTTTTAAAATTTGTTTTGGTTTGGCCTTTAGTTTTTGGCTTTCTGGTGGGACTTTCTCATGAATAACTTTAGTACCAGAAGTACTAGCATGACAGTTGGGGCTACAAGTCTGTGACACCATGATCTTTTTGGCTTTAGCAACTTGGGTGCTAGGCCTTACAGAAGGATCACTAGACTTGGGTTCAACATATCCAAGACCAGATGTGAGATTATGAGTATCATCAATACTCTTTATTGAAGATTGCATCTTCAAAAGACTATCATATCTGATTTCAAGATTCTCAATTTCTCTTATTCTTTTTAGAAGAGACTCATTTTCAGATTCCAGTTTGTCTCTTTCCTTAATTAAGAGATTAAGTTTGCACTCAGTCTCTGTTCTTAAGTCAGAGATTTTAAACTTTAGCTTACTGTTCTCCTCTTTAATCAAAGAATAAGTGTCTTGGATAGTTTTGAACTCTTCCCAAAATGATGACATTGGATCATCATTTAAGGCTGTGCCTACCGACGAAGAAATAGAATCAGCTGTAGAGTATACCTCATCATCAGATTGTGCCATGAGGCAGAGGTCCTCGGTCTCTGTGTCTAGGCAGCAGAATGCTTCATCAGTTTTAGAGTCAGAACTGGACTCTGATTCAGATAGGGGATCTCTCTCAGCTTGCTCCGAGACAAATGCCCTCCGTCTTCTGTGTTGATCTTCAGGTTTCTTCTCTTCTTCTTGTCCTTGCTTCTTGGACACTCTAGGAAATGGGCAGTTGGCCTTGAAGTGACCTGGCTGTCTGCAATTGTAGCAGAAGTACTCTCCATTGCTTTCAGAAGACTTGGTCTTCTGATGAGGTCTTCTGCTAGAGGATGGACTCCTTCCATCCTTCTTCATAAATGTCCTAAATTTCCTGGCAAAGGCAACCATATACTCGTCAGATAAAAGAGTGGAAGGGTCAAAGTTATTTACCTTGGAAGTGCTGGCTGTGAGAGCAGTAGTGGTTCTCTCATCTGGCACTTCTTCCTTTTCATCATCATGCATCTCGAACTCATAAGCTTTGAGGTCTGAGATCAGCTTCTCTGTTGGGTAGGTCTTGACATCCTTGCTTTCTTGTACAGCAATGACTTTCATCTTCCAGACAGGAGGCAATCCTCTGAGAATCTTCAGATTAACTTCTTTGATTGTGAGTTCCTTCCCTAGTTCAGAGATCTCACTGGTAAGGATTAGGAGTCTGGCATACATCTTAGCTATGCATTCCTCAGGTAGAAGTTTGAAGTCATCAAACTTCTTCATGGCTATGGTCAACTTGTTATCTCTTTCCTGTTCATCTCCAGCTCCTATGAGATCAAGTTTGTCCCATATTTCTTTAGCGGTTTGACACTTCTTGATCCTGTTGAAGTATCTGTTGTCAATGGCCTTGTAGAGGATGTCCTTGGCTATGTTGTCAAGGTTGTACTGTCTCCTCTCTTCCTTGGTCCATTCAGATCTGGCCTTTTCAATCATCTCAGGCCGTGTCTTATCAGCAGCATAAGCAGTGTTTATCTTCATGAATTTAGTGAAGGGTCCTTCTTCAAGGACTTCCCACATTTCATCATGAAGGGCACAGAGATGTGCCTTCATCCGAATCTTCCAGTCATCATACTTCTGATCTGAAAACATGAGATGCTTTGCAAGAGAGTTATCCATAATAATAATTAAAGAGGCTAGAAACAAGTGGGTCTTTGTTCAAAGAGTAACCTAAAAGATTACAAGAACAAGGAGGCTCTGATACCACTTGTTGGTCCCGTTTAAGTTGGTAACAGTCTAGAGGGGGGGGTGAATAGACTGTTATAACTTTTAGAACTTTTCTCTAAGTCAGAGTTGACTTATCAGAGAAGGTCGAGTTCTGATGATCAGAACTGGGTCTTGCAGCGGATAAGAGTTCCGGGTAGCCTCAAGCAGACACTAAGGCAGGTGCCCTTCTGATAACTCTGAGAACAAGATCTGCTGAACACAGAGTCCAAGTTCTTAGGGAGTTATGCAGTTAGGTTCTAAAGTGCAGAAAGTAAATGCGTAAAGTAAATGACACCAGTGTTTTTATAGTGGTTCAAGGAACAACTCGTTCCTCTAGTCCACTGTTCCACTAAGCTTTGAAGTAAACAGTTACAAAGCTTTAGCCCTAGCACTTAAGAAGTTCTCCACGTCTTCTTCAAGCCTAGATGTCACCCGGGATGCAGTCTTGCTTCTTGATGACTGGTCCTTTCACTCAGCTTCCCGGAAGTATCACCACTTCACTGCTGCAGTTACTTGGACGCCCTTCTTTGCAGAAGATGTTCTGAAAAACAGAGTTTTTCTCCAACTTGCTTCGTTGCAAAAGATTTGTTGTTGAAGATCTTGAAGTGTTGAAGAACTGGTGGAACTTTGCTCTTGTTGGGGTTGAAAGATCTGAGTAGTTTTAATCTTCCCAACGTAAGCTTGTCTTGTTGATGGTTGTGGAGGTTGAATCTCAAGATAGCTTTTTGAATGAATAAGAGAGCAAAAGTTGTCCGATTGTTCTTCATGAGTATCCTTTCATACTAGGAGTTGTCTACCCGTTGGAGGAGGAGACAACTGCATTGAATGCGCATACTGTGGAGTTGACCGGTTGGACCCGCAGTTTTGGCAGGTTTCTATTTTTGTATAATATTCTCCAGGAATCTCGGTCAATCATCTGCACTTACTCCACAGCGTATCAGGCTCATTAAATGAGCATTAAATGCTTTCCTTTGATGAGATATCTCCTAGCCGTTAGAGAATTTTCCGTTTGATATACGGTCGTTGAAAGCAGCTTTGAAATCTTCCAAGTGTCCATCCAGGTCTGATGAGATTCTCTGATGGCATTCTGACCTTGGATTCTGATGAACTTAGATAGGGAACTCTGATACTTCTCTGAAGTTGAATTCTGATGAAACTTTACATCGAACTCTGATGGTTCTCTAATGAGCAGGTCTGATACTTTCCTGATGATCAGCTCTCATGGATTATCAGACTTGTAGTTCAGCTAGCATCTCTCATGGAGCAGTTCTCTTAGCAGTTCTGATAAGATCCACAAGGAGCAACTCTGATTGTCGACTACATTAATACTTACAACTGAAAATTTCTAATACATAAAATCTGAATGGGGGTACTCTAAAATTCTAATCCTAGCATCATCAAAATCTAATTACATTTATTCCTTACATTTTTCCTTCCCCTCTTGAATTCGAGTTACAAGTGAGGATATTCGCTCATCTTGTTTCTAGTCATTCTTCACCTGTTGAATTAAGTCAGGTTTCACCGTCTCTCCAGATCAGAGACCCTTGGAAGATTTCCTTGAGAAAAGCACTCATTGAGAGTAGACCACATCTTTGCAGCTGTTTCTTCATACATTATGCATTGTTCGAATTCCTTCGTACATGAGTTAACAATCCATGACGGTACCATAAGATCGCATCTCTCCCAAGCTTTGAAGTCCTCATGATCAGGATCAGGTCTAGCTATAACGCCATTGATAAGCTTCATTTTGTTCTTTGCACCAAGTGCAATTCTCATTGATTTGCTTCATGAATGGAAATTGTTTCCATTCAATTGAGGATTGACAAGTGCCATATTGGGATTATCTCTCGAGCTGACATAGAAGGGACTTGAAACATCTTCTGCAACTGGACGTTTGTTCATGAAAGTTCCTGATTCTTGAGTTTGAGGCATGATTTCAAAGTGTTCGATAAAGTGGAGAAATTATATGATCGAAAATCGGATTATTTGTAATCTGCAGCGGTTGTTAGAGCTTATTATCTGATACCATGTATAATAAAACTTTAAGCTGGAATGGTGAACACTACGTATGAAAAATAGAAGAGCAAGAAAGCTTTATTCATCTTCACAAAAGTGTACAGAGTGCAAAGGTTTATACAAGCCATTCGTAAAGTATAGGACAAGAAAGACATAAATAGATATTACATCAAAACAGAATTCTAACTACCCAACTAACTAGAAGCTTCTGGAGTTCTCTTTTTGTATCTACTTACAACATCGACCTTTATGTTGCATGTTGTTGCTTCTTTTATATTGCATGGCTTGCTTTTATCACTTGTATCTTCTTGGACGTAACATGACTTGTGCTTAATATGCGAAGCACAGAATCAGGATAAGAGCGGTTTCTCCATGTCGTACTCATTAGGATGGTTATCAAAAACCTCATTTCCTTTAGCCCAAAGAACAAAGTAGAGGCCGGTGAACATGAGAAACATGCCTGCAAGGCTGTAACAAAAAGAATCAAGTCAAAATTGTACATTGTACATTTTAAGATCACTAGCTAAAATCAATTTATTTTGTCAATTATTTTTCCAGTAGCAATGTATATTGAAATGTAATTATTGCAGAACTAATCAATGATATATATATATATATATATATATATATATATATATATATATTTAAGGATTTGGAGAGACTTCAATACAAGAAATCGACCGAGCAGGTTTTCATATCTGGAGATATAGATATGCACACAATGTTGGCTTATTCTGAACATTCAGACAGATTCTTATCAGGGGATGACTTTCTAGGCCACGCCTCAGAAAGCGATAAAAGGCTCCCGCTCTCCACTACTAAGGATCTCTGGGACTCGGATACAAACAGAGACATTTGTTACAAATCCAAGTTGGTTACTAAGGAAAATTGCCTACCAACAAGCAATTTAAATACCCAGATTAAAATCTACCAGAAGAAAAAGAAAAATCGGCGATTGCATTCTATGAAAACTAGATCTCAATCCCGAGGTGTCGATCGAGACATGTGGGAGGATGATTGGAGCGGCTCTGAGGACTTTCTTTCTTAATTTTTCTTGCTTTTTTCCAATTTTCTTCATTGTATCCTTTTCCCTACTTTCCCTTTCCATGTAATTTTTCTTGTTTCCTAATAAAATATCCTCTTATAATAAAAAAAAAAAAAAAAAAAAAAAACAAACAAAAAAAAAAAAAAAAAAAAAATATATATATATATATTTAAACATCAATTTTTTTATTATTAATTTTCCAAGACTTGGGAAAACAAAGTGGAAAAGGGGGACCAAAACCAAAACCTTTTCCGTAAAAAGACATGAGAAAATTTACAGTCTAATGAAAGGTATCCCTGACGAATCGTCTAAAAAAGCCCTTTTAACATCCGGGGGCAGATCATTAAATGTGGGGAAGAAATTGAAAGAACCATTTTCTAAAACTACATGGGCTAGTTGGTGAGCCACCCAGTTGGCTTCCCTATGCGTGTGGCAGAAAACTAGCCCGAGATTTACTATGGCCCATTGGAGGCGGTCCGTCAAGCCACTCCACCTGTTTTGTCTTGCGCCCTTTCTCACCGTTGCAATTGACACCATGGAGTCGGATTCAACTTGGAAATCAGAGTAACCTTGATCGATACACCAGTTGACAGCAGTATGAAGAGCCTGGAGTTCGGCGTCGAGTACGGAGGACACTTGCTGCTCAAAGGATAAAGCTGCGATCATATTCCCACGGTAATCTCTTAAAACTGCCCCTCCTATAGAAATGTTATTGACAAACGAAGCGTCCGTGTTGAGTTTAAAGGAGGTTGCTGGTCTGGTCCAACCAATGATTCGAGGTTTTGACGGTTTAAGGTGAATGAAAGGATGGACAAGGTTAGAGGATAAAAAGGTGGGGACGGGCTGAAATTTGGGAAGGCTGAGCGACCATAGGTGGGTGTAGAGGTCAATGTAGGAGAGGGTTTTGGGAGGGAAAATGGGGTAGAAGAGTTATCCCAAGTTAGCTCTGCATATTTTTTCCATATATGCCAAAGAATTATTCCTGGCAGTACTTTGGTGAGGCTGTGTTTTGGACTGTTGTCTCTAAATAACTACCAAAGGATGCAAACTTGCCTGATGGTGCAGTAATAGCTGGGGATAGGAATCAAAAATAGCCTCATGAAGTGAATCCATATAGGCATGACTACCTGGCAGTGAAAAAAGATGTGGTCAATATATGCAGAGTGGTTTTTACAAAAAGGGCATCTGGAGGGGTAGATGCAGATGTTGAGCTTAGATAAGTAATCTGGGACAGGAAGAATTGAGCTAAAAAGCTTCCAAAGGAACAATTTAATCTTAAGATGTTGTCTTCTGTGCCAAATCAGGTTGAATGAGAAGGTAGAGGAGCGTTTGGGTCTAAAGAACTCAAAGGCAGATTTGATGGAGAACAATCCGTCTTTAGAGGGGGACCAGATGGGAGTAAGGTTGCTGTCCATAATGGTGAGGGGGGAAGCTGTATGATGGATGGAGCATATTCTTTTCCATATGTGGGAGTCATACGGCCTAGGGTTCATGTCGTTGATATATATATATATATATATATATATATATATATATATATATATATATATATATATATATATATATATATATATATATATATATATATATATATATGGACCAGAAAGGTAATCAATTGATTCATATTTTAGACAAAGCATTATATATTATAATAATCTATAGTGTTGGGAAATATTTTGCAATTTCCTTATTCTCTGTTTATTATAAATTTATCATCAAGACATCCTATTAGGGCAAGTCATTATTCCCACAATTATTATTGCATATGGTATCAGTTGCCTAGGTATCCTATCGTTTTTCCCGCTCCAATGGCGCATGACTATGCTGCCGCCGGAACAGAAACCTCCGCACCGCCTACTTCTTCTTCTTCGGCGTTCATCAACACCATTACGGCGGGCGACACCCATGACATCCACGGAGCAGCCTTCTTCCCTTGACGTTCTGTCTCCAGTTATTCGCAGGTTTGCACCACAGTCCGACTCGTCCACGTTTCCGGCCATGGATTCCTATCGAGCGTTCGACATGCCTCGTCCCTTCACATGGACTCCGTCTCTGGTCGTCTCTTCTATTTCATCCGTTCCCATGGGCATCAATACCTCTTCGCAGCCTATTGCATCAGCCTCCAACAGTCAGCTCTCCACGCTGATTGTGTTCATGGATTCCACCTTTTCTAACCAGCCGGGAATCTCCCCTTTGCCGCAACACCCGTTCACGTCGCTGCCAGGTTTTTCCTCTTCAACTTCTTATTTGTCATCCCTAACTTCTCAATTGACGTTCTCTATGCCTAACGTCACCAATATTGTTACTACTCAGTTGAATGCGGTTGAGGATTATCTCCCATGGCGTATCCAATTCGAATCTTTTCTAGTCTCTCATAGTCTTCTTGGGATTCTAGATGGATCCGTTTCGGCACCGCCACAATTTACTTATGGTATTGCTCGGCGGGAGATTCCTAATCCTTAACATCACCACTGACTTAAGATTGATCAGACCATATAGGTTTGGCCATTTGTTACCTTGTCCCGTGACATGCTGATGGAGCTTTATGATTTCAAATTTTCTGCACGCATTTGGGAATGTCTCCAGACCCGATTTATGTCTGCCGGTCTTGCTCGATCTATAGATCAATATCTCCTGGAAATTAAAATGCTGGTTGATTCCCTAAATACTATTAATTCTCCTATTAGCAACCATGATTTAATTGAACATTATCCTTGGCTTGGGTCGCGAATATGAGTCTTTAATCACGGCTGTCACATATATTCTAGGTGATGTTACTATTGACAAATTATGGCCGATTCTTCTCACTCAAGAATAAGCGCCAGCTCATCAGGCTTTCATGGCTACTCCTTCAGAACCAAACTGAGGGGGTGCAACTTGCGGATAGGGGGTCGTTCTTCAGGTGGCCGAGGATATTGTGACACAAGAGGCCGGGGGCAGCGAGGACGTGATCGTGGATATATTGGTAATTTCCACCAACAGCATCCGGGTTATGGCGGATAGCAACCGCCCCTTCTTCCACTGCCGCAGTACAGACAACCATCTGACCAGCACCCTCATGGGCCTCTTCGTGCACAGTTTCAGACTAGGACTCCAGGTACAGTTTTAAGTAATGTCTCGTCTAGTTATTCATACTTAAATCATTTATATACTGGTGTTACTAATAAGGTTAGTGCAGGTTTTCCATCTATGGATAATAATTATTAGTCTCCTACACCTCCAGTTTTTTGCCAAATTTGTTCCTTGCCATGTCATTCTGCTCTTAACTGTTCCTAGTTTATTGGCTCCTCTACTCCAACTTTTGTTGTTCTTCCCTCGGCTAAGACAAATGCTCTGTGTGGTATCCTGACTCAGGTGCCTCCGCTCATATGACCCAGAATGTAGGTATTATTTCTTGTAAAACTCTTTATGATAGCTCTAATTCGGTGCAAGTTGCTAATGGTACTAAATTACATATTTCTCATGATGGTAGTCTTAAAAGTACCACTCATGGTTGCCCGCTCTCTTTAAACATCGTTTATCATGTTCCACACTTAAAATATAATTTATTATCTATTCATAAATTGTGTGCGGATAATTATTGTACGGTGGTTTTTAATAAAAAAATATTTTTCTATTAAGGGAAACCAAACAGGGGCACATCTTCTTCATGATTCCAATAAAGATCATCTCTACACATTTCATTCTCTTCAAGCAGCATTAGTTTTTGGACCCATTTGGCTTAAACGTTTGGAGCATTATGGTGATAGAGTTTTACAAAGACTTCAATAAAATCATTTTATTTTTGTTTCAAGTAGTTTTAATCACAATTGTGTTTCGTGTAATGTTGGTAAATCCCACAAACTTCCGTTTCAAGATGTTATTCATTCTTGTACTGCGCCCTTGGAACTTATTCATTCTGGATGTTTGGCAATCGCCTACTATTCTAATCTGGATTATAAGTATGATGTTTCTTTTATTGATGATTTTTCTTGTTATACTTGGGTTTATCCAATGCGGTGCAATTATGAGGTTTATACTCATTTTTGTAATGTTCAATATCTGGTTGAGAATCTTTTGGATAGAAAAATTAAAGCTTTTCAAAGTGATGATGGTGGTGAATTTGACAATTCTATCTTTCATAATCATTTTTTAAAATCTGGTATTTTATTTTGAAAATCTACCCATATACTCCTGCTCAAATGGTGTGGCTGGGCGTAAACATAGACATCTTTTTGAATTAACTAGGACTATGTTATTGAAGCTTCCATTCCCTCCAGCTTTTGGATTGATGCTCTACATACAACCACTTATATTAATCGCTTACCTACGCCACTCTGGAATAATTTAACACCTTTTGAAAAGCATTTCAATAAATATTCTTGAACTGTAGGGCGCAGTACAAGAATGAATAACATCTTGAAAACATGCACATCTTGAAAACATACATTCTTAAACTGCAGAGCGCAATTATGTAGGCCACTCTTACAGACATGGCCTACATAATTTTTGGATGTGCATGTTTTCCTAACTATATTGCCAAGTGTTCTAAACTTCTAATAAGCTCTCACCTCGCTCTACTCATTGTGTTCTTCTTGGGTATGCTCCGGGTTACAAGGGTTGTTGATGCTTAGATTCTTTATTTGGTAGGGTATATATTACCCGGGATGTTCAATTTCATGAAAATGATTTTCCTTATTCCCAACTTATTTCCTCGGCAAAACTTCCCACTGCCATAACACTGCCTTTACCATGGCTACCGGCGACGTCCTAGTCTCAGTTGCTACCAACTTGTCACCCAAGTCCTTGCCTTACCACCATCGCTCCCAGAGAGCTCCATTTTATAATGCCCAGCCATCCCGCTCTCGCCTCTTCCAGACTTTCCCACCCATCCGCCCTCCGTCCCTGTCTGAGGCCAACATCTCTTCTTCCCCATCCATCCCTGCGACCCACCCCTCCTCTCACCTAGACCTCTCTGTGACCAATCCTTCGTCCCAACCAAAATCCAACTCGTCCTCTTTACCAAGCAGCTCCCCGACTGACAGTCCACTAGTGTCCCCCCTTCTCTCAGTCCGCCACCTTCCCCTACATTGAACATTCATCCTATGCGCACTCGTGCCCCCATACGATCCTGCCTGTTTTTCTCAAGCTCAGAAACATTCTATTTGGCGGGCTGCCATGGCTAATGAATTTAATGCTTTACTTGCTAATAAGACATGAGATTTGGTACATTAGGATGACACAAAAAATATAGTTGGTTGTAAGTGGGTTTACAAGACTAAATATAATTCTGATGGGTCTGTTGATTGCCACGATGCGCGTTTGGTTTCTCAAGGGGTTAAGCAACAAGGTGGTATAGATTTTACTGAAACCTTTAGTCCTGTCGTTAAAACTACTATTGTGCGTCTTGTTTTATCTATTGTTGTCTCTCTTGGTTAATGTATTCGTCAATTAGATGTCAAAAATGCCTTTCTTCATGGTCACTTTACAGAGGAGGTATATTTGCGTCAACCCTCAGGTTTAATTCATCCATGTTTCCCTTATCATGTGTGCCGTTTGAAGAAAGCCCTATATGGTCTGAAATAGACTCCTATGGCTTAGTTTCACATATTTAGCGGTTTCCTTTTATCCCATGGTTTTTCCCAGAGTAAGTCTGATTCATCTATGTTTATTTTTCGTCATCAGTCTCAGGTTGTATATATTCTTCTCTATGTAGATGACATTTTAATCACAGGTTCTTCCTTGTCTTTTGTTCGATCCATCATTAATTCTTTATCTACTCAGTTTGCCATGAAGGATTTGGGGGACATTCATTTTTTCTTGGGTCTTCAGAGTTGGCATGCATCTTAGGGATTATTTATCTCTCAACATAAATATATTTTTGATTTATTGTGTCGATTCCACATCCACATTGTTAATCTTGTTTGTACTCCTTTGCCTTTGTGTACTATTCTCTCTCTTACAAAAGGAGAACTTCTCATTGATGATACTGAGTACCGCAGTATGGAAGATGCATTACAATATTTGATCTTGGCTAGATCTGAAATTACTTATGCTATATATTTGGTTTCACAGTTTATGCATGCGCACATACTACTCATCTTTTAGTTGTGAAGCGTACTTTTAGATATTTGCAGGGTACTCAAGAACATGGTTTATGGATCCAGTCCAATCGTGATATCTCTCTCATTGTTGCCTACTCTGACGCTGTTTGGGCTGGTTGTACAGATTACCGTCTCTCCACCACTAGTTATGCTATCTTTCTGGGTTCAAATCTGATTTCGTGGAAGTCCAAAAAGCAACCCACAATTTCTAAATCCTCTACAGAAGTTGAGTACCGTGCAATTGCTTATACTGTCCAGGAAACCTTTTATTTGTTTCTTGCTTGCGAGATGGGTATCGGTATTTCTAGTCCTGCTCAGCTTCATTGTGATAATGGATCTGCTTCCTACTTGGCTGTGAATCCTATTCAGCATGAGCGCAACAATCATATCAAGATCGATAACCGTTTTGCCCGAGAACGTGTAGCACATGGTGATCTTGTGGTCAAATATGTTCCTACTCAGTTGCAGTTGGTTGACATTTTTACTAAAAATTTATCTAGTCTGCGTTTTGAGTTCTTACTTACCAATCTGTGCTTTGTTTCCCCTGCACAGATTGAGGGGTTTAATAATCTATAGTATTGGGACATATTTTGTAATATCCTTATTCTCTGTTTATTATAGTATTATCATCATGACACCCTATTAGAGTGAGCCATTATTCCCACAATTATTATTGCATATATTACACGTACAACAGATAAATGCTAGATAGGTTTCTAATCACGGTTTGTGTAGATATTATCAATTTTAATTGATTTCATTAGATGGCCAATGGATGAATTAGATAGAATAACTGGATCTGAGATTCTCGTTGTGACAGTTGACAATCGGGTTACAAGTTACCGTTCTTAATTGATTTCACTAAATCGGCTAAATGCTATTATTTAGATGAATATATGACATTTGTTCTATATTGACTAATAATAAAGGTTATTAAGGAACACGTCTCGTTATTAATGACTACCCTTGATGAATTGGACGATTTAATCTTGATGATTAAGTATTCAAGAGAAGATAGTTAAAGTAGTAAATGTGACCAATGTGCACTTCACTAAGTGTAAAATAGCAAAACCAAGACTGCTTACCTTTAATATTTTAATTCTTTCATCTTAGTGTTTGATATTTCCTTTTACTTTGATTTCTTACACTTACGTACACGCAAAAAGCACATTTATCCATGGATACAAAGTCTACTATGTTATAATATATTATTAGTATCACTCTATTAATGCTTAGTGGTGAATTTATTTTGAGTCACAAGCGACATTAGTGCTGTCAATCACATCTTCATATTTAGTAACATTTTAATATGAGCCACCCTTTTATTTTAGTCACATCTTTATATTTGTTACATTTTGGTATTAATCACATTTGATTGATAATGTGTTTGCTAGAGGTTTTGATAATGCTACTAATAATAATGTTGTTATACCTAGATTGCGTGAATTATGTGGTCCATTTACTTTGATGGATAGATTTTTCATCAATGTGGTTAATGTTGATAGATTTTTCATCAACGGGGTTAATGTTGATGCCATATTATTAATTTATGTGTGAAAGACGGCTTAACGGAATTAGGAAATGTGATGGATAATGTGATTTAGGCTAATTGCGCCAGGATAATTTATTCTATATATAAACAATATTTAATTAAGTAAAACATTAATGAACTTCTTCATCTAAAACTATATAGCCACATAGTATTATGTTATGAAAAACATTAGAAATAAATATATGACAAAAATAAGGATAAGGATAAAAATGTGACTTAGTAACCCGGCCTTTAGTGGCTATAATTACTAGAAATATTACCCTAAATAGGACTAAAAAGGTTTGAAAATTCCAAAATAGGACTTACATGTTTTTATTCCCAAAATAAGACTAATTACTGTCATGGTTTGGCAGTACCCGACTTCAAACATGACAGTATTTTCCAAACTTGGCAATAATTACTCCTATTTTGGGAATAAAAAATATGGCAGTCCTGTTTTGGAATTTTCAAACTGTTTTAGTCATATTTCGGGAACTTTCCCTTATTACTACTACCAAAAAATAACAGAATTGGCACAGATTAGACACGAATCATTGGAAGGGATTCGCCAAAATTCATAGGGTATTTTGCATATAGTTGACACACATACATCAAATATGTGCCACATTCGTGCCAACGCCGTTTTGTCACGAGCCAAAAATATATTATATATGATTCGTGTCAAACTCGATCAATCCGTGCCAATTCCATGCCAATACTGTTTTTTGTAGTGTACGTTAAAAATTTACATCAAAATGACTATAATAGTGTACTCATGCATAATTACTTTTGTCATATATCACATATTCTTTTTTAATAATATTTTAGGAAAACCCACAAAACATTAAGGTCATATATAAATATAAGTGAATAGATATAGTGATATCTCATGTAAATATGATATATTCTCTAAATAGAACTAATGTATTTTTTTTAAAGATCGTCATTATTATTTTTAAATATGCTCATTCACTCTAAAAAGAATCTAATTTTTATAATTACATAAATAAGATCAAAATAAAGATGGTTTACAAAAGTATGACTAGCTACTCGAGTAGTAATGAAATCATAGTAATTCATGTTCAAGTTTTGAACTTAAGTTACCACAACACTACGTTGTAGTAATGAATAGTCATATTTATGTAAATAAGTTTTATTTTAGAAGCAATGTCTTTTGTACATGGAGACATGCAGTATGCTCGTGATATTTAGAAGCAATGTCTTTATTTTAGTGAATGTATGTACCTTCCTAGAGTAATGGAGTCTCCTAAAGTGATCACAGAGAGTATAATGGAAATGACAGTTCCAACCGGACCGAAAACAGCCACCATTACTGGCCCTCTTTTCTTCATTGCCCATGCATTGAAGCTTGTAGAGGCCCCACTTATGCACCCTGCCTGTATACATTCATACCCCAAAATTTTCACTCATCAGTACGTGAAGCTCCGTTCGATTTTTAAAAATATTATAAATATTATTCGAATTAATAAAGATCGAAACAAACTATTATATACTCCACCTCCACGTACGCGTAGTACATAATAGTGCATGTGATCGAGATATATTCATCACGTACTAAACAACATATGCATGCATGCATACCAGTAAAGAGTAACCCAGGAGATTTTGGATGTTTGTGTTTGACAAACCGATCTCTAATTTGTGATCTTGAATCAGCTGGACTATTATTGTGAAAAACATACCCATCAATGATGTTATTGCAGATATAGTGATCGGTGAAGGAAAATCTCCCAATGTTGCAGCCTGTAACACATTATATATATATAGGGAGCGAATGAGGTGAGAATAAGCGTGTATTCGGTTGAAAACTGTGAAGTAATTTAAATGTTGTAACAATTATATATTTGGTTTTATAAGTCACATTTGATAAATTAATAGTTAATTAGAAATAAAATGTCTTGAATGCATTAATGACTCTCAAAAAATATAGGATATCAATTATTATTCATTGTTTTCATGGTAGTTATACATGTATGCGCGCGCGCACATAGAATTAGGTTCAAATAAGAAAATGATCTTAGGATAGAAAATAGAATGAATCTAGAACATTAGATTGTGTTCTGTGAAATTGATGTACATTAGGTGAAATCGAAATGTGCAGCGCCAAAGTTATGGCAGTGGCATTATGTGACCTGAATTGTGCACGATGTGAAACTGAAATGTGCATTATGTGAAACTGAAATATGCATAATAAAAGCTATGATGAGGTGACACTTTTGTGCCTTTTATTCTGCACATTTGAATTTCACTTAATGGTGAAATGTACATTTCAATTGAGTTTTCATTACTCGTTTTTTATAAGAACAAAACATAAGGGGAAGGGGAGGAAAAAGAACAAGACGAGGAAGGGGAAGAGGAATGAGTGGAGGTGGAAGAGGAAGGAGGAAAAGGAGAGGGGGGGGGGGGGGGGAAGGGGGGGGGGGGGAGAAAGAGACCAAAGAGGAGGAAAGAAAGGTTGACGAGGAGGAGGAGGAGCATAGAATTGTTGCTTCCTTAACCTAGGAGTACATACGAGAGAGACGAAAACTGACTTCCGGGTTGCTGAGCCAAAATCCGACCAATAGAAATGAACTCTCAATAGTTCAAGTAGAGCTAGGGTTACCGTCGTCATTGATTTTGTTGTCTGGAACGTGAGCCGCCATTTCTGGAGCTACGCTGCCGCAGAGAGGTTCATTGCTCGTAGCTCGTGGCTAATAGTTGTTCGCTGTTGCTCGTTTTAAACACATGCTTATGACTAACCCAAAGCAATTATTTGAAAAAATTGGAAGACCAACACAATAATTGGAATATTAATCACATAAAAAGTGGAAATCAACAAACTTAAGTTCACGGAAAGCGTCCGATGGGGAAGAGAAGTGTCGACCGCTGGAGAATATGGGTCAGAGAAGCCAAGCCCCGACTGGAGATGATGGATCGGAGAAGCCAATCGCCGACGGGAGATGATGGGCCTTGCTGGAGAAGCCAAGCACCCACCTGAAGTGTTGCGTCGCCCAGATTGAGATGATGGTTGGAGAAGAGAAGCTCTGAAGGGAGAGTTGGATGCCTCGATGGGTGATTTGCTTTGCTTAAGAAATGCGAAAATTAGAGGGGTTATTTTCTTAGAATCAGAAGCTAGTTTTTAGAAGGGGTAATTTGAGTTGGTACCTCATTTTACTGTGCAAATTGGACTTTGCACCCTGTTTCTAAAAAAGCTTTGTTTTTGCATCCCAATCCCATATAAAAAGACAAAATGCCCCTCCATTAACAATTTTGTTGGCCTTTAACATATTCTTGATCGCGGGCATTTTTGTATTTTCATATGGGGTTGGGGTGCAAAAACAATTTTTTTTAAAAATTGGGTGCAAAGTCTAATTTGGACAATAAAATGGGGTGCAAACTCAAATTACCCCTTTTTTTAGAAGCTGGTACTACCCAGCTTCTACCAAACTGATTCTACACCCATTTTAACAGAACTTTTACAATCATATCCAAACACCTACAAAACCGATTCTACTTCAAAGTGCTCCTTGGGACAACAGAATTGGCTTGTACAAGCGGTTCCAAACATCCTCTGAGTTGTGTACAGAAATCCGGTGACTCCAATTTACGTTTATTACTGCTTTAATATTGAAAATCCAGTGACTCTGGTATTGTGAGTTTTGTGCTGATTTGTTCTTAAAATTTATATTATATTTCTGCTTATACAAAAGAACAAGGCGTTTGAACCCGAGTTTTTTGCTCATTACTATTCCCCATTTGTTCATGCTAGTTGCTTCGTATATTTCCTAGCCTTATAAGTATTTAAATTGTTTGTCACCTAAACTTACATTTTTAGTTGCTTGTTTTCTTTGTGAAAATGTCTATTAATTGGTATGGTATGGCTCCATTTAACGGAAAATCTGATTTTACCATTTGGAAGCACAAATATAAATGTGCACGGAAGATAAAAGGGCTAAAAGTTGAAAACGTTTGTTTTGTAATTCAATTAACTTGTCTAATTGTGTGATTAGAAAAGTTGAAATTTTTGAAAGTACTAAAATATTGTGGAATAAATTAGATGAAGTGTACACCGAAACTACTTTGCCTAGTCGGATGTTTTTACTGTTGGGCCATGAGAATGCGGTGTCAGCAATCTGCGAGTCTGTCGGTGCATTTAAAATGCGGTGCTTGACTGCTACACACGTATAAGGAAATAACGTCACGTCTTTGCTACCAGTTATAGCTTTTGGCATAGTGGCAATCGCTTGATCCTGACAATTGGTATCAAAGCATGTCACGGGTTCGACCTCCGACAACAGCGTGTCGCGCAGTTGTACGCTGGCAGGTGCTGAGGGAGATTGTTATGCTGTGGAGATGCGGTGTAAGCACTCCTCCAGCGTTCTAGTGGAATCGAAACTTGGTGTTTAAGTGCTACGCAAGTATGAGGAAATAAAGTTGTGCCTTCAGTACCAACTTTGACTTTTAGCGTAATGGTAAGTGCTTGATCCTAACATTTACTTGAAAAGTTTTTCAAATTTAAACTTGATATATGCCTAGGGACATTGATGCAAATCTAGATGTTTTTACCAAACTTATTTCAAATATTAAGTTGTGTGGTGATAAACATATCATTATACACATATTAATCTTTTAAATGATATTTATGATTCCTATAGATGTGAAATATGGTATAAAGTATGGTGAAAACAATGTGACCCTTGACATTATGGTTAACGGTCGTAAGAGTAAGCAATTAGATTTGAAACACATAGGTGGGGGGTAAAGAGTCGGAGGAGGTTATGCATGCGATGGATAGAAATAATCATAGAAGATGCAGATCTAAGTCTAGGTGTAACACGGAGCGTTGTTATAATTGCCACGAATTTGATCATTTCATAAAAGATTGTCCTAAATCTAGGAAAAATATGTTGGAAAAATTGAGAGTATTTCAAATGAATAAAGTTTTATTACAAAACAACAACATCCAAGCCTAAGTCCCAAACGATATTGGCGTAGACTTGGGGGAAGCAAAAGTGATTTTGGGTATGAGAGTCATAAGGAAGGATTATGATACTATAATATCTTTAAATAGGTTTTAAAGAGTACCCCTTATGACTCTCATATACACTTGAAAAGCATGGAGGTGATTCCGAGGCTCAATATGAGTATTCCCAAATTATTGGATGTTTATTACACTTGATGAATTATACGAGGCCCGACATAGCTTATGTTGTCGGAAGATTGAGCCGATATACCCATAACCCAAGTGGGGATGATTGGATTGCATTGAGGCAGTTATTGAAATACTTGAGAGGTACCATTAATTATGGCAATTTTTTTATTGAGATTATCCGTTGTAATCTATGGATACAACGATGAAACGTTTTATTGAGAAATATTCATTGTACTAGAGCGGTACAATGATGTTATGTATATGAGAGTTATCCATTGTACTATTATGATACAATGATGTTATATATCTTTTATCGAGAATTATCCGATGTACTAGAGGGTCACATCGATGTTATTTCTTATTGAGAGTTATCCGTTGTATTGCCGGGATACGACGACGACATATGAGTCGACTCACATGAGATAAAATAAAATAGAGGATATCCATTCACCCTTAAAAGTGGTGCTATGATGTTTGAGAATGGAATTATTTCCATTAATTTTGTGAAGTCAGAAGGAATTAGCTACTTCTTTGAAGAATCCCTAGGACGAAAAATGATAACCGAAACATCGAAGGAAATGGGACTAGTGTCACTTGAAACAAATGGGGATGAGAACCCAACTTGTGTGATTGGAGATCCCATGAAGCAAGTTCATATGGGTAATAACAAGTCTTCCATTTAGTTCTGCTAACCTAACCAAAATTGCCCACTTTCATGATGTGAGATATAGGCTAGAAACCGCATTCTTTGAGAGGGTGAGCTAAAAGCTCTTAATGATTATCATAGCCATTAATTTTAGGGTGGTGTGAAAAAGCGGTACACACTTTATGATATCACCTATATGAGTGTGAGGTGGGGCCGCCTCTATGAAGCATGACAAAACTTCTAGAGCACTCATGAACACCAAGCACGCGCATGGCCTTACGGCGCACAACGGTGAGACACGACCGTTAAGACCCTGATTTACAAATAGTGGCTCATTGGTTCATAGAAACTATATGTTTCACCAAAAGCTCAAGTTATTAAGACTTAATCGTCTCGGTTTGGTTTATAGTCTACGGACACCAAACTTAAAGCCTCATTCCTTTAATCCAGCAGAAATTTTCCAAATAATATTCAAATTCTCAAAATATTCATTTGAAATATGTGGGGGATTTTTGGAAAATTGAGAGTATTTCAAAGAGTTAATTATCAAAATAGGACTAAAAGTCATTCACTTTGCACAAATAGGACCAAAAAATAAACTATGTTTCCATAGGACTAATTATGTGTGTCTTGGACAAATATACCCTTATACTTATTGAAATGTTTTAATTCATAATAAAATAATAAAAATAATAAAAATTCATAAAATTTACCAAAAAATCAATAAAAATATTTTGAATAATAATAAATTTAAAAAAAATTAAAAAAATTAAAAAAAATCAAATTTTTTTTTTGTCACCGCCGCCTCTGCCGGCTGCCGCCCCAGCACCACCACCTCTAGTCATTTGGGGAAAAATGCCAAATTTATTATAAATTCCATATTTTTGGCATTATTCAGAATGATTTAAGATGGCAGAAAAAAATGCTGGCATTGTCAAAGAGAAATATGCCATGTTTTTGACATTT